CTCCCGATGCTTCATGAACGTTCTAGAAGCGCGTGGCGTGTTACTAGTGTCACGTGACCTCCGCTGTCGTAACAAAACTTTAGATGATCACGACTGAAAGAAAAACCTTGTCACTTATGTCTCCGCAGAGAGACTACTATTTTTGTTGTTTCTTCTTTCTTCCTTCTCCTCCCGAACACTTTATAATCGACCGCCATCCATCAGTTCTCGGCAAATTGACTTGACACTTGGTAGGGTTATACCTTGATGCAATACTTCCACTATCTTTTTTTTTTTTGTTTACTTAAGCCTTTTTAAGGATTTTATGGTGTTAAATGTGAAACACCCTAAAAAAAATGTATATTTTGGGCTCCTGTTTGGTCATATTTACTGCAATTAAGATGAAAATGGGCACAAATGTACATTTTCATTCGCCCAACACATTCACTTAAAAAAAAGTTGAACTTGCCTGTTTTGAGTCTTTATGGGTGTCAAAGCTCACAAAAAAGGCGTAATTTTGATATTTTTGGTCAAGTACTAGGCCATATTTTGACCAATTTAAATGGAATTTGGCACAAAGATACTTTACTACATGCTCCACACATTGAAACTTGCCTATTTTGAGTAATTATAGGGAGGGTGGTCAAGATGCCACAAAAAACATACTTTTAGAGTTATTGGCAATTGCTCCGCCGTATTTCGGCCAATTTACATGGGATTTGGTACAAAGATACTTTATATAGGTCCCATACAGGTGAGATATACCCATTTTTTTGTCATTTTTAAGAGGGTCAAAAGGTCAAATAAATTCATAATTTTAAGGGGTTTGTCCTTTTCGACCAATTTACGTGGAATTTGGTACAAAAATACTCTTTCAGGTTCCAAACAGATATAGACAGTTTTGGGCTTTTTGCCTTTTGCTCAATTTTTCAGGGAAGAAAGCATGATTTGGAATTTTCGTGAACTATTCATGTGTATGTCAACCCACTTACATGGAATTTGGTACTAAAATACCTTCTTGCAGTGATATATACAGTTTTCGATTTTTCTGTGTTTCACGATTTTTCTGGTGTCAAAATTGACCATGTTGGGATTGCGTGACGGAGACATGTTGCATTCGTCCGCGAATGTTGGTCTCTTTAACTTGGAACATATTTTAGTTAGTATTTTAAATCCATAGTAAATAAATGGTAATATTTAATGATACTTTTAAAATACATATATTGTATTAAATTAAGATACCTTACAACTAAAGAAATCTGATAAACCTAGTTTGGAAAGGGTGAATTGGGAATGAGTGGCGTGTGAAGAAGCAAGTTTGTGCAAGACTAAATATTAGATACTAATAGTGTCACTTGAGATCGCTTAATTAACTTACGCACTTCACGCGCTCATCTAATGTGTATATTTGCGAGTGGGCGACTGAAGAGATGGAATTACAAAAAATATACATGTATAATTATTAATCATAAGTGTACTTTATGAGGTAGTTTGACGTCACAGTTTCTGTTTATTTTAAAGCTATACAGAAATGTACACATTGTTGTAATTTATTCTTTCATTGAGCGAATTCTTTTAAATTATTTAGTGAAAATAATGCGAAGTCCGGTCCACGTGACAATAAAAAGTTTCTTTATTCCTTCCTTAACGTTTGCTAGAGGCTACAATCACTTGTACACAGTTGTAGGCCCTAGTTCACAAATAACGTTTTAACTTTCAATAGAAATTTACTCGCTGATAGTAATTTGCAAGTACAGTTGGTTGAAGAACTATAATTTTTACATCTAAGCGATCTAGTAATTGAATATACGCGATGACTAACATTGTATGAATCAGTGGCGGATCCAGAATTGATGGAAGGGGAGGGGGCAACAACAGGGCGTGAAGGGACCCGCGAGAGAGGGCTTATTAAAAACAATTAAATCCATTTTATGGCATTTAGCTGCCATTTTAAGGTAGACACGCAAGCCTTTGACACAAGAAATCATGAAGTGTAAAGTGACTCCGTTTCTTTGCTTTCCGCTTAATGCAGAGCATTTAACATTTCAATAAAGTGACATGTCATTTGATATATCAGGTTATATTGGTTAATAAAAATATTTTGTTTTCATATTATCCCAATTACTTTATTAGACATGGTAACTGTAATAGGCGCAAAATTATAAAGATTTGATAAAGATCCCCTTGTTTTCATTTCCAAGATTAAATATAAGAAGAAAAATATTAATAACTTCTTTATTTATTAAAATAAGCAATGACGTAAACGACTAATTAAAAGTCTGGGTGAAACAATGGATCAGATAAAAGCAGTCTACAGGGCGCTTTTGTTGTGAATTTATCGACTATGAGATCATAGTCCAATGAAATGTCCTTAGGGACACACAACAAAAGTAGATAGTTTAAACGTTGCTCTGTCATAGTACTGTAAAGATCAGTCTTTATATAGATTAGAGAAGAATTTGCTCTTTCTACAGAAGCAGATGTTACTGGAGCTACTAGCAAAATATGAAGAATACGGTGAATGTTGGAATAGAAATATGAATTAGTAGCACGAAGAGTTTCTGATAGCGTTGTTGGTAAAGTCTTGGTGTTCTTCCAACGTACAATCCATCTGTCTATCCCTTGGTGCAGGAAATTAGCATCAGGGAGGTCACTAGAAAATATATCCTGGAAGTTGTTGAGTGTGGTTTCTGAGATGGAGTCTGCTACAACTATATTTTTAAGAAGACAGAGAAAACTCATTGTTGTGATTGATAGTTGGTTAAATCTTGAATTCAGCCCACAAGATGATCGGCAAATGGAATGAAAATATATCGGCGTCTAAACTCTTCTGCTGACTCTGGATGATTCGACCGACATGTTTGAGCACCGCAGCTACGTGGAACAGCCAACTGTTCTCCATGGAGAAGTATCTTTGCTGCATTGGCTTTTCGAAAGATTATTTGAAATCGTGTTTGAGCATCATCGCGTGCAGATGCAGTACATGTAATTATACCAAGATATGTCATCATAAGCAGAAAATACATCTTTGCTTTCACCCTCCAACCAAAAACTCAGATGATTGGATTTGCTTCGTCAATCCTGAAGCTTCAGTTACACTGTGAGCATCCCATTTCACACTGTTATCAAGGTTAGGTGTAGAAATCTGCTCTAGACATAAAAGTAGACATTGGTAAAGATCATGGAAGTCTTCCATTATAGTATGCCATTCGACCCATTGAGTATCACACATAAGTTTCAGTTTCTTCCTGGTAAGCATTGGCTTCCCTACAGCTTTTCTGTTCTCGTTCACATGTTCCGTACATGCCTTCAATTTGCATTGGCGTTTAGGTGAGTACTTGAAGAATATGCCTAGTACTTTCATTGAGGAAAACATTCTATGCATCTCTGGAGTTATACATGCCTTGGACAATGAAAGTTTGAGCTGATGGCTACTATAACAATAATAATAAATTGCTTGTGGGACTTCTGCTTTTGGTCGTGCTTGGCATCCTTTCTGAGCTACTGCCATAGCACCAGCCTCGTCATATCCTTGACCTCGACACCGATTTAAGTCGAGTCCACATTTTGAGAGAAGATTTTATCTCCCGAAATAGATCTTCTCCACGTACACTTTCACACGCCTCGAATCCAAAAAAAATCTCAACAGCCTGTCCGTCTTTGGCGTATCAGAGCACTATTCCTACCTGTTCCCAGTTTGACACATCATCTATCTCATCAACTATGAGACCGTAGAAATTGTTTGCTTAGATCTCAGTAACAATTACATCGCGGATACAATCGCCGGTGCAGTCTAAATACTCATTTGGGGTTGTCTTGGAAATGTAGGTTTCACGAGATGAACATGTTTTAAGATGCTCTTCAAGCACCATATCACCTGACTTGACTCTAAGGTTTACAACTGCTTTTAATTTACCTTGCGAAACGTAGTCAGTTGATATGTCGTTATCACGATGACCTCTTGATGTGATGCCAAACAGCTCTATACACTTCAGAATAGACTTTACTATAGCTCGATTCTTAAGCAGTCGTTCTTGCGTAACTGTATGAATTAGCATGTCAATTCAAGATTAGTCATTGTGCGCACAAATGCTAACATTCTTGCCTCAGACTTCAGGTGGTATTCTAGATGGCTATGCTTCTTTAGATCAGCCAAAGTATCTTTCCAGTTGATGAGTGGACGAGTGGCAAGAATTTGACCTCGGCCGCTTGTGTGCTGGTCGACAGGAAAGAGAACACACGCTAAACAAAATATCCGAAGTGCAGAAGATGAGTAAGCTGCAAATGTACATTTGTTACACCATTCCCTTTTGCAAAATCTCTCACGAACTCCACCACTAAATAAACATTGATTAGTGATTCGTTATTTTTACAAAACTTTCCTTTTCATCAATTGTTAAAAAAAAAAACACGTATGATTTCGCCACTTGTAATGAAATGAAAAAATGCTTTTTGTTAAATTCATCGGCTCAAAACCAAGGTAAATAATTAGATATAATTTCGAGACATCTGGACTACCTCTTCGGCATTTATGGCATTCATTACTATATCACATTTTATGTTGGGCTCAAAGTTGGTCCTCACTCACAGGACGTACATTGAATATAAAAACATACATCATTTAAACCTACTATTATAATAAACAGTTATGTATCATCATAGTTAACTTTTACTATTTGCATGAAAATGATTGAAAGTGTAAATATATTGCTGCAATTAACATTTATTTAGTAGCACATTACCTATAATATAATATTATGTACATATAGTAACTTTACATAACAGCTAATACATTTATCTGTGATTAACAGTATCTAGAAATTGGTTTTCGTCAATCGTTAATATTTGGGGCATCATGCGAAACGACAGAATAAATTTGAACTCTTATTGTAACATTATTTAATTAGCTTGTGAATTGTAAACTTTAATGAAACCAGCCTCATATGGTAATTATTTCAAAGATATTAATTCAACTTTTTAGTTATTTATAAGTTTGTTAAAAAGTGAAAAACCTAAAAAGCAAACGTTTAATTACGGTACTAGTCACAGACTTTATTTGTACAAAATACCTAATATAGATAATATATACACAAATTATCTGTTCTCGATTTATCTGCATATTCACAACTGGGCATTTCAATATGAGCTGCTGGTGCACGAGACTCGATTAGCTTCATTTTACAGATGTCAGAGGGGGATCCAGATGATACTGATGCAATACCCAAAAGACTATTTGTTGTAGGTATTGCGCTAGATTCCAACACATCGGGGGACTTCACAGAGGGTACAGAAGAACATTCACTAGGGTCATGCAAGCTCATTTGTTTTTTCATTTGATGGGTTCTTCAAGGCTATTTTGAGAGTCTGAGACACTAGTGGTAACAGAACACTTTTTTTCTAGGTACAAAAAAAAATCTTGTATCTGCTCCTGCTCTTTTCATTATGTAATATTGTATTTCAAATATTGTGGTAGTAGACGTGTATATCAAATACTTATTGCAAATTTATGTAAAAAATGAGTAGTAATCTATTGAAGGAATTTCATTTGTTAAATTTGTGAACATAGATATGTATACGACTTTTGTAAAAA